TGCTCTTAACAAATGACGTTGACTACTGAAACAAGTATTGCTCTATCCATTGGGCATCAAAAGTTCAGAACCTATTAACTTTCATATTTCTTTCATTTGTATTAGCCTGTCAACAACAGGAATTGATATTGGTTTAAAAGCTTAAATATTATCATAATTATATAATTTGCAAATAATCTAGAATTGACTAGGATATTAAACAGGGAATTTGTTATAGGTATAACTAGTGGTTTTCAGACATGACGTCCATGGAGATGGAAAACGAACTCCGTGTTATCACTTCCTCGTACTAATCACTCACCCTGTTAACTCGGTTCTTATAACATAAATTTCAGAAATTATTCAACAAATGTGTTCATATTAAATTACTCACTGTATTGTATATTTCATTAGCATTTCGGTGTTGTTTATAAGCTCTTGCAGACGTTAAGATGACGTCAACACAGCCGTGTTCAATACGCCGGCCAATATATTGCCAACATGCTTCTTCTAAGTCCCTCAACTCAAATTGATATGCTCCGCACAGTAAACCTTGATATGTAAGAATAATAAATGTAATAAAATTGTAATAAAATTGTTATAAAATTGTTTAAATATTCAGTTACAGCATATGGTTTCTCGTTCATTGATCCAAAGTCCACATGTCTAATATTTGACATTTGATTGTGCTCTGAAATAAGCACAAGAGTATGGTATGTAAATCTGACGAACGGTGGTCCTACCTGGGTAAATATTAGCTCTTGCGAACGAGTTTTACACAAACAATGAATGCATTTCTAAAAAAAATATATGATAAAAATTGTTTGAATATTCAGATACAGGATATGGTTTCTCGATCATTAATCCAAAGTCAACATGTCTAACATTCGATCTTTAATGTGCTTTGTAATAAGCACATTGGTACTTATGTTAATCTGACGAACGGCGGTCCTACTTCAGTAAAAATAAGTTCTTGCGGAAGAGTTACATGAAAAAATGAAGACATTTCTTAAATTAATATGATAAACAGAGTAATAGATAAGTTGGTTTATCGGTACACGTTGGCTTATCGATGTACTTTATAACTTGTCAGATATAGCTTAAAATAATTAGTTAAGAAACATTTACTATAAGGTAGTCTCACCAAACACGGCAGTATCTGTGATGGTTGCTGTACCACTGTGAACAAACTGGATTAGCATTCGGAACACCTCGGCATCGTATTTCCGGACAGGAATAGTTAGTCGCCCTCCGCAAGCTGATGGCTTGTTGTATTTGAGTTCAGCCTCACGCAGGTTCAAATGTTTGATAATAAGCTGGTAGAGGACCCTATATGAAATCAATTTTAAAGAAAATTAAATCAAATGATATTTTTCATATTCATATATTTTCATATACATGTATTTTCTTCCTTAAAAATCTTTCAAGTTATGTCCTACAAGAAAAGTAAGAAAATAATTTCAATACGTATTGAATATTTGTCACCAGTATATAAAAACGTAAAAGTACAAAATCTTTTATATTAGAATATCCACCAAACAAATACCTGAAATGTGATATAAATTATTCATGAAAACTTACTTGCTCCGTGTTCCCAAAATAGCACGAACGCCATAGACTGGGATTTCCTTAGGTCCTAAGAGAAATATTACGTCACACAGTTCTGGGATCTCCATGATCAATTTAAGGCTCTCACATAGCGAATGCGTACTTTTAACTCGTGCACTCACGTGACCAATCTCTTGACGATTCACAGGAACATTGTATTCGTTAGACCTTTTTTGATCTTCTGTTTCAGAGTCCGTAGATTCGTATCCCGAAGAAGAATCTGAAGTGATATAACATTACAACTTTAATATAGTTTTATATATTTATATTACATTTTTATATAAGCTTGGCGATTGTGAAACAACCTTTATTAATTACATATAATAAATTGCTTGCTCGCACAGTATTGCGTTATGTGAGGAGTCATGGTCGTGATATGACTAAGTAGGGCTCGAACCCACGGTCCTTGGGTTAAGTGGCACACAGCTTTACCATCAGGTTACCGGTCCAAGTTTTTATCAAATTTTTCATCAAATTGTTCAATTATCTTCCTGTTATTTTTTTTGTAAAACTAACATAAATAAAACTAACATAAAAGACACTTTCCTTCACAAATTACGTTAGAGAGCCTAAATTATAGTGTTTTAACTTTGTCGATGCGTCTTTAAAACCCCACACAATTTTAAAGGTCGATTGATAATATAAAACGAATACAACAATCGTTCATTTACTTCCAACATCAATTCATTTTAAAAAATGGTCGTTTTTTCTTTGAATCATAAAGTTTAACCATGATGTTCTTTCAATCATAAACGATGACGAATATGTCTTTAAATTCATCAAAACAGAAAGAATCAAACAAAGGGTATTGCCCAAAGGTGTCCAATCATTGCTTAATATCAATTTATTGGAACAAGTCAATTTAAATTTCCTTTTTTTAACATGAATAAATGTGGTTAGTAACAAAGATGTTATATATGTCTCTGTTATTAATAAGTTCAATGTTAGTTTTAAACATATACAATATGTATACATAATTATAGTGATAAAAAAATCGTAAAAGTATTTGTTCTTATCATTTGCTAACGCATAAACCACTTTTCAATTTACAAGATATTACAAAAACTACAAATTGGTAAATTCCTTAGTCACAGTAAAAAAAAGAATATTACAAACTTTCAGACATTTGAGCGTTAAGCCAAGTTTGAAATTGAATCCTATATTTTACAAACAAAACAATTCTGATTGAATATGATTTCATCTTTTTAAAAATGAAACAATTACAATACGAAATTTGACCTTACCTTCGTTAAGCATGTTGTTCATGAAACAATAATTCTCCTCAAAACATTCGTCATCATCTTGTAAAAGAGGTTTTGTTAATTCACAACATGCCATCTTATAATTTTAGACTATACAGTATCCAATATAAAATCCTTGTATTGTAACTTTTTCCGTCAAAACGATATATATTGAAAACACGGTATATTTTACATTTATAGGCATGAAATTAAAGATTTTAAATGTAAAAATTCTATTGGTTGAAATAACTGACGTGTAAAATTAACTGTATTTCCATTGGTTAATTTTAAGTGATTGGTTGTTTGAAGTGTTAAAATGTCTGGTTTGATTTGCTATATACTTGCTAATTGGTTTGTAATTAGGTCGAGGAAACAAAATAGACAGTTTCATTTACTCAATTATATAATCGTCAAACAACCGTTTGACCAGACACATGTCTATCACACCTTATCCTATCTTTGATCTCTATTGTAGTACATTTCTTAATTGGCCAAATTTACAAATCCGTGTGAAATTAAAAGGGAAATTTAGAGTGTTCTTAACTATCTTACAAAATGCCACAAAATAATTTTGATAAGACATCTGTGAAATGATGATACAATGAGATACATGTATGTGAAGTAAATTTGTACATCAGGTATACGCGGGGATGAGCATGGAAATGAAAAGTTTATTTCAAGACACACGTGTCATAGATATTCATTATAACCAATTTAGACATTAAAACACGTTTCAAACCTTCAACGTTTGACGTTAACGTTGGTAAATTAACATTCAGAGATAAGTCTTTAATCGATTATGTTATCGTAACAGCTGAAATGTTTCAATACGTTAACTCTTTCGAAATACTAGAAACTGATAGCCTATTTTCGGACGGACACAGTGCTTTAAAGTTTTCGTTTAAATTGTTTAACACACATAGAAACGCACAGTGTGATAATAAAACAATTCATAATAAACCAAGTTGGCAGCCTCAATACTCTGAAAAATTTAAAGCAAACATATGTTTAGATGACATAGAATCTATTAAGTATCAATTGAACACATACCCGCAATCTTTAAATACTGTAGAAAACGTAACTCGACAGCTACAGGAAATTTTCTCTAAATCGGCAGAACTCTCGTTTCAAAAACGAGACCTTAATAAAACTCATAAATAACGATAAAAACAAACCATGGTTCGGACCAAAATGTCATAAGGCCAGAAAAGACTACCATGACGCTAAAACAAATTACCACAATAATAAAAATAATGACAATAAAACAAGATTACAAAATGCTAGTAAACAGTATAAAAGAACTATGAATTATTATATAAACGAAAATAAAACAAAAAACGCCAAAAAACTAAGAAAAATGAGCACTGAGAACCCAAAGCAATATTGGAAATATTTGAAAGCGCATGAGTCACCAACCGTATCGGAATTTTACGATTATTTCAAGAATATAAATAATTCGGACACTGACAATAATGAATTCGACCCGAGCGAATATGTAAACAATCGTAACGCGAACAACTTTTTAAATAAGGAAATTTGCGCAGACGAAATTTTAAAATGTATTAAAATTTGAATAATGGAAAGGCAGCAAGCCCCTCCGATAATATTTTAAACGAGTATATAAAATATACTCAAGACCTTTTATTGCCTATTTACACTAAAATTTTCAATGTAATTTTAGATACTGGTTTTATCCCTAACTCCTGGTTAGAAGGGTATATTATACCCATTTATAAAAATAAGGGCGATTCGAAGAAACCGGAATGCTATCGCCCAATAACTATTTTAAGTACACTTGGAAAATTATTTACTTCTGTATTAAACAATAGAATAACGTTATATTTAGAATCAAATAACCTTCTTCATGAAAACCAGGCTGGTTTTAGAAAATACTACAGCTGCTCAGACCATATTTTCACATTACATGCTCTCATTGAAATTCTAAAGAAAAAGAAACAGAAATTGTTCTGTGCATATGTTGATTTTTCTGCTGCATTTGATAAAGTATGGAGAATAGGTTTATGGCAAAAACTAATCAAAACGAATATAAATGGGAAAATATTGAATGTCATTTTTAATATGTACCAAAATATAAAATCAAGAATAACGCATTTAGGAGAATTTTCTGATAGTTTTTGTTCAAATACAGGCGTCAGACAGGGTGAAAATTTAAGTCCGGTTTTATTTTCCATCTTTTTAAATGATTTACAAGAATATTTAGAATCACAAGGATCAGTAGGGATAGAGTTAACAGATACACTCGACGCTGAATATTGGCTAAAACTGCTAGTTTTACTCTATGCCGATGATACAGTGATTATATCCAATACAAAAATTGATTTCCAGAATACACTACTACACTTTAATCAATTCTGCGAACAATGGCATTTAAATATTAACACAAACAAAACAAAGGTTGTGATATTCGGCGCAAGAAATGTAAGAAATTTCCAATTTCATATAGGCGAATCAAATTTAGAAATAACGGAAAAATATTTATACCTCGGAATAACTTTCTCTAGTAATGGTTCTTTTTTACAAGCTCGTAAACACATCGTCCAACAAGCAAAAAAGGGCCTATACCTTCTTTTAACAAAGGTAAATAATTCAAGTTTACCATTTGATTTAATTCTTAAGCTTTTTGACCATACTGTTCTCCCAATTCTTATGTATGGATCAGAAATTTTTGGCTATGAATCTTTAGAAATTATTGAAAAAGTTCAGTGCGAGTTCCTTAGAAAAATTACTAGTGCTCGAAAATCAACACCTAAATATATGTTATACGGCGAGACTGGAGTAATACCGATATCAATTATGATTAAAAATAGGATGATTTCGTTTTGGAATAGGTTAGTTACTGGGAAAGTCTCAAAATTATCTTACAAAATTTATCAATATATGCTTAAACAACCAGAAAAAGATTTTAAATGGCTGAGACATATTAAAACTATACTTGAATCTAGTGGTAGAGCAGATGTGTGGTTACTTCAACCTGCCCTAAATACCCCAAACTTAGGAAATTCTATAAAACAAATCCTTATCGATCAGTATTATCAGGAATGGAACACACAACTCCAGTCATCTAATAAGGGTAGAACTTATGCAGTCTATAAAGAAACCCATAGCATTGAAAAATATCTAATACGTTTACCAAAGTATGAACGGGAAATAATGTTTAAATTTCGCACAAATAACACGCACTTTCCAGAAGAAACGGGACGCTGGGACGGGACGTCTCCAGAAAATAGGCGATGCGTACTTTGTTCAGAAAAACGCTATTGGCAATAGCAAACACTATTTATTACGTTGCGAAAAATTCAAAGAACAAAGACAAAACATTTTACAAACTTTCTGCCTTGAAAATAATGATCTTAACTTTAAACGAATTGTCAACATACAGTCGGAAAATGATCTTAAGATACTCTGTAAATTCTTATCAATATTGCTCAAGCATGTGCGTTAGGTGAGTTCCGCAGACATTAAAAGTATAGCCATTGAAAACATAAATTCATATGTTATTATTGTATTAATGTTGAAAAATGATTGTGTTAAATGTGTCATTTGATATGCATGTCTTGAAATACGCTAGATAAGTCCCGCCGTGAGTACGTCAATCTTGCATAATCAATCTTGTTAAAGCATTTCAAATTTGAAAATTAAAGAATTCCCGTACCCCCGACGGCACTTGTGCATTATAAAATTACTCATTACTGAATTACACATTACATTATATTAACTATTACTGGGTAAACAGTACCTTATTGCGTAAATCCTAATAAATCCGGTGAATATTTATCCCAATTGCTTGTGAAACATGCGAATTCATTTATTTATTTTTTTTTTTTTTTTATATTTATTGAATTGACCAGGTTACACATGTGTTGTCTGAACCGAATTACTGCGCGACAAGAACAATTTGCACGAGGCATTCATTCACACACACACACACAAAAAAACAACCCCGTCGTAGTAAATAAAATTACTAGAGCGTGCAATAAGGCATTGTGTACTTCCCAGTATTTATGTTATATAAGGTGCTAATATATCCTCACTTGAACCCCCATTTCTTTCTTTAAAACATTAAAAATGTATATTATTTTTTATATTTCTGTTTAAAAATAATTAAATGACTATTAATACTGTATTATCTTTTCAGGACTTTACAACCGGAACATATATATATATTGTAAAATATTACTTTGTAAACCCCTTATGTATTTTATTAATACCTGGGTGAATAAAGATATTTGAATTTGAATTTGAAACAATTATTTAACAAGACAGAAACACGTGTTTCTTTGGGGTTAATTAACTACTTAGATTAATTGAACCTTTCTATTTTTAATGTAATTTCTCATGACCATCACGATGCTGGAATAGGAAGTTTTACAAATTTAAACCAAAACGGTAATAGCCTGATAGACTATGTGTTATGCACGTGTGATTTATTTCCATTTATTAGCAATTTCATTGTTCACGATTTATATACATTTTCAACACATGTACCGTTACAAGTATGTTTTAAAGCAAAATGTATGTTGAATCCATCTGAAAATGAGCGTGTTGGTTCCGGTGTAAAGTTGAAGTATGATGAAGACAAAGCTCAAGAGTTTAGAGATATTATGGATATTGAATATAATCGTATAGATGTAATGGTGAATAATATAATATCGTCTGATATAGATTTTGATACAGGTATAGATGATATAGCTCAGTGTTTATATGACAATGCTCGTTCTGTTTTTGGTACGAGAAAAAATTGTACATAGTTTTAAGAATAATGAACGTAAAGGTAAAAATCCTTGGTTTAACAATGAATGTGAAGTTGCAAGAAAAGAATTACGTAATGCAAATAGAAATTATAAAATATGTATGTCTACAGATAATAGAGACTTACTAGTTATAAGGCGAAGACGATATAAACAGACAAAACGAAGAGCGATAGTACAATACAAAAATAGACAGAAAGATAAACTTCATAATTTAGCGAAAAATAGTCCTCAAAAATTTTGGTCTGAGATTAAAAAACTTAAGTCAAGTAATCCAAAAGGGTCTAAAATAAGTAAAGATCAATTTTATGAACATTTTAAAGATTTGTACGGTGACAGGGATATTTTTACTGATAGGGATGTAGAAGATAATATAA